ATATATATACTTAGCACATGCAATGCCCTAGGTTTGATCCCCCAAAAATAAAATAAAAAGACTTTGTCAAATATATTCTCTTCATGTTATTCTTATTATTGAATTATGAAATCAAGTCCTAGATTACCTACTATTTTCCCCATACATATTTCAGTATGCACTGCTTAAAAAATGGACACTTTTTACATAACCACAATGCCATTATCACAGTCAACAAAACTAAAAATAATTTCACGGTATCCTTATGACCAAATCTTGAGTCTGTGAAGGAGGCAACTGAGTAGAACAATAAGAATCAGTACATCTAGTTTCCCGTAGGTCAAGGACCAAAAATAGAAAATAGGAATTAAGGACACTAGATGTTAGAAAGTTATTAACCACTAGTGAAAAACAGACATCAATTTTTAGTGATTCTAAATCTCTTCTAATTAAAAAACTCACAAACTGGAGAAGTACAATGATCTCTAAGAATAACTAACATCGTTTACCAGAAATTACTTCTCCAATCAGCTTCTGGGGTTTGGTGATCAGCAGATGGCCAAATGTACCAGTGATGCTTGGTAAACTTATGTTGAACAGCAAATGGTTGTTTCAGATTTTGTATATATAGACTGGCTTCAATGGTATATGAGGCTTTTCAATAAAATATCTCTAGTAATAATCTCAAGATAATAAACTACATCTCACATGTCAAATCAGGAAGTGGTTTTTCTTGGTCATCTGTCTACTCTGATGCCAAAATTTTATTACTGAACAAAACCCAGACCTGTTGGGACCAGCAGCGACAGGAGCCACAAAATTCTGCTGAGTACTTTCCTTTATAGGTCTGAATCATAAATCAGAAGGATACAGGACCACAGGGTCACAGAATGTGAGAGAGGGAAAGGGCTTGGATTCAGCTAGGTTCAACATCCTTTCTCTCCTCTCTAACTGGGAAACTGGAGGCTACGGACAGCCAGGGGAGGAAGAGCAGAGGTTTTCCTAATTCTTAATGGAATCATATAATTGGGAATGAAGGGAAAAGTGGAAAGAAAAGCATGCAAGACTTCATTAGAAGCATGAGTTACAATTAAGAAAAAGTGAGATAAGAATTGTACCATATGCTGAACTTTAATCAACTTACTTAATGGAATATTATCTGCACTTAGTCCACCAAATAGGAAAAGCTTATCATCAGCTATGGGTGTTAAAGTGTGCCATGACCGATGTTTCGGGCTTTCTCCATTAACAGGAATCCTGTAGCAAGGGGAAAAAAATTAAACTATATGAGTCAAATAAAAGGTTTTCTGGTCATCTCAGATTTTAAAAGAAAGAAACTTCTTTTACTGCTCAAAAAAGAGTTGATTTTGCTAGTCTAATATGAAAGTTTAAAAAACATTAAGTTCTTAGAAGAATTTATACAATTTCTTTTAGTATAATACCCATTCAACCTGCCCACAGAACACAGGGTGAAAATGAAAGTCAGTTCCCAGCTCGTTCACAATGTGTGTTTTCTTGTTGGTTAATCAACACCCTTTCTCAGTCTTCCGATGCAGTTATTTTCCTGTCAATAACCTTTTAGTGTTGTTTCATGTTTAGTTTTCTGTTTTTAACCCATTTCTCCAAGGACATTGTAAGTTTTGTAGTTACTATTTCTGCTTGGGTCTACGTACAGAAGTTCCCAGAGCATTATCTTCTTCTGAAAATGCTAGCTACTCTAATTCAAATGAAAGTACACATGCCATTCCAGATCCAGGATAAATCTCTACAGGTTTCCCTCAAGTATCCTCTTAAGAGCAGAAATAAAAAAAACACAAACGTAAGTCATAAGCAAAAAGTTTCATTCAGGAGGTGGGGAGACAGCATTTTTCAACATTCCGGAATGCTTCATAATAACAAGCCATCCTTCAAAGATGTAATTTAGTTGTTCCAAAATGGAAACTGTTTTTGTGAATTATAAGAAACACTTGAGTTTAAGCATTTAAGTTATAAAAGTATTTTTTAAATAGGAGAACTCTCTTATAATCTTGTCTCTCAGCAATAAGAAGTAACACTAATTTTTTTTTCTTTTTTGCAGTACTGGAAATTGAACCTAGGGCCTTCACACTGAAATTACATCCCCAGCACCTTGTATTTTTGAGACAGGGTCTCACTAAGTCTCTAAGCTCAGACCGGGCTTGAACTTGCTCATCCTCTGAGTGCTGAGATTATAGGTGCCGGTTACCAAGCCCAACGTTTTTAAAGACCTTAATGTATATATTAATGTATTTATTAAAATTTAAGTAAGACTGTATATTCTATTCTGTAACTTTTTTCACTGAATATCTTATAAATTATCTCTTAGATGCACAATCTCACACACATACATAAATTTGCCATATCTTTGAAGAAACTGAATCAAAGTACAAGTTTTATTCTACTATTTTAAACATATTTCTAGACTACTGTCTAGGAATATAGCTCCAATCTGCACGCTTACCAGTTGTGTTGTTACACCCCAGCACACACTCATTGTTGTAATTATTTTTATCTGACAAATAACTGAAAACTTACTTTTATTTCTATTTCTTTGATAATCTACGAGGTTGAACATCATTTCACAATAATTTTTTCCTATTAGTAATTCCGATGGGTTCAGTCAGTACTTCCCACCTGTTAGGCAAGTGCTCTATCATTGAGATAACCCTGCCAGCCCCCTCTTAGGATTTCTTTGTACTATTATTAATGTTTTTTGCCCACTTTCCTATGGAATTCTTTGTCTTCTTCTGGGAGATTTTTTGAGTTTGTGTAAATCTTTGCCCGCACCTCTCTGTTGAAGATGTAACAGCCAGATGTACTGGCACATGTCTGTAAACCTAGCGCTCCAGAAAGCTGAGGCAGGAGGATGGCAAGTCTGAGAGGCCCTGGGTTAAATTCCCAGTACCCCAGCATCCAAAATTGTAAATATTATCTTTTCAATGTGCATTTTCCAATTTGCCATTAAACTTTTTGTGGTACATTTTTCTAGAGAAATATTTATTATTTATTTTAATTTTTGTGGTACTAGATATCAAACCCAGGGGTTCTCTACCATAAAGTTACATCTCCAGGCATTTTAAAAAATTTTATTTAGAGACAGGATCTCATTAAGTTGCTTGGCTGCCCTCAAACATGCAACCCTCCTGTGTGTCTCCTAAGGATTGGGGCACAGGCTGCCCACCAGGCCTCACAAGAAATATCTCTTTCTTTTCTTTTTTTTTTTTTCAAGACAGAGTCTCACTATGCAGCCCAGGTTGGCCTCAAACTCACAGCAATCCTCCTGTCCCTACTTCCCAAGTGCTAGGATTACAGGTGTGTGCTACCTCATCCAGCTAAGATATACTTAATTTTTAAGTGGTCTTACCGTCAGTTTTTTCGTTCATAAAATTTGAGCTTATATATTTATAGAAGCTTTTTCAATGTCTCCATTGTATTGTACTGTATTGTATATGTATCATACTGGGGATCGAATGTAGAGGCATTCTATCACTGAGCCACATCCTTGGCCCTCCCTTCCTTCCTTCCTTCCTCCCTATCTATCTATCTATCTATCTATTTATTTTCTGGGGGTTTTTTTGAGACAAGGTCTCGCCATGTAATTCAGGCTGGCCTGGAACTCACTATGTATCCCAGGCTGGTCTGGAACTTGAAGCAATCCTCCTGCTTCAGTCTCCTGAGTGCTGGGATTACAGGCATGTGCCACCACATCTAGCAGCCCTTTATTTTATACTGTAGAAAAAGAGTTTAACTAGGCTGCCCAGCTAGGCCCCAACATATCATTGTCCTGCTCAGCCTCCTAAGTAGCCAAGACTACAGTATTTTGTCACCAAGTCCAACTCAAGGTCATGATTTTAAATAGAATGTGTTATGGGTTTTTTAAAAAATGTGCTATGTTTTGTTGATACTTTTACTTCAACGTTATTTGTACTTTAGAATAATACATAGCTCTGGCTTCATTTCATTGCAGGAATGGCCAAATTGATAGTTAAACCTACTTATTCTATTGTTAAATACATATTGTGAACCATAAATAAAACCTGACTTTTTTCGCTTCATTATCTACTCATGTGATGACCTCACTCAACTACTCCTTCTTTCTTCTGACTATAAAACTAGTGCTTTCGGGGCTGGGGATTTAGCTCAGCGGCAAAGCGCCTGCCTGGCAAGCGCAAGGTCGTGAGTTCGGTTCCCAGAACCAGAGAAAAACAAAAACAAAAAACAAAAACAAAACAAAACAAAAAACTAGTGCTTTCAATAGAGCCAGTTTTCAACTCTTAGTAGCTTCACGTTGTATGCAGTTCAAAGAACAAACTAAACTTGTACATTCTTTGCTTAGACATTTAATTTGAAGAATAAAAAAATTACAGTTCAATATTTTTGGGAACCCAGATTTGGATTACAACCACACACAACCCTAGACTGAAATGAACCTAGATTTCAAACATACCTTCCAGACCAGGCCCAAGTGTCTAAGTTTAGATAGTGCAAGTCACTCATCCGCGTTTGCTAAAATAAAAGTACATCACATTAGACCATGGTTAATACCTTTTCCAGACTACAGTGTTAGCTTAAAATAAGTTCAGATTAAAAATAAACTCTCTTCTCCTTAACATTAGAAGCTTAAATACTTTTTTTTTTTTTTTCCCGGTACTGGGAATCGAACTCACGACCTTGCACTTTCCAGGCAGGTGCTGTGCCACTGAGCTAAATCCCCAGCCCCTAGAAGCTTAAATACTTTAGGGAAGCAGTTCTAAGAATTAATACAACGAACATAGTGCTCCCAAATTAATGTGTGAAAGGAAAAAGGAAGAAATGGGTTTAAACTATCAGGGTTCATTTGATAAGAAATTAAGCTTTTCTGATACTGCATTAAAGTGCAAGTTTCTCTCTTTAAAATATGGTTTATAATCATCTGTGACTGCTTGTGTATGGTCTGATTTAGAAATATAAAATAAATAAAAGTTACTATTAAATGCTATTTTAGGGGCTGGGGATTTAGCTCAGCAGCACAGCACCTGCCTGGCAAGCACAAGGTCCTGAGTTCGATTCCCGGTACCAGAAAAAAAAAAAAAGCCAAAATTAAAAAAAAATGCTATTTTAGTATCCAGAGGGTTTATGTTTTTTGTTTTGTTTTGGTTTTTGAGACAGGGTCTTGCTATGTAGTTCAGGCTGGCCTTGAACTCACTAGGTAGCCCCAGCTGGCCTCAAATTTGCAGTGATTTCCTGCCTCGGCCTCCCAAGTGCTATATCTAGAGTTTTTGAATGTTCAGTTGTTTCACAAAATCAGAGGATACATTTTTATAACAAGCATCAAACATAACAATACCATTTCCATCAACAGTACTCACCAGAACACGTCCACCAAAGACGTAACCCTTATTTCCAATAACTGCACACGAATGCGCGGCGCGTGGCTGTGGTGGAGCTCCACCCTGCAAGCAGAGAGCAGAACACAGTGCAAGTGGTGAAATATCCGTAAGAGGCCACATTCCTACTCGGGATGAGAAACTCCTCAGCGCTAAGCTGCTGATGTAATTCAATTAAAGCACCTCATGCAATAGTTCATGCTAAAAAATATAATTATAGAAAAATACTACTCATTAAGAATAAAATTTATTCCTTCTTTACTTTTTAAAGCATTTCTCTCTTCCTTTGGTGCTGGAGGTGAACTCAAGAGAATCGTGCATGCTTGGCAATCGCTCTACCACTGAGCTACATCCCCATCCCTTTTTAAATTTCTTATACCAGTTGTCCATGCTGGCCTCAAAACTATGAACCTCCGGCCTCAGCCTCCTGAGTATCTGGGATTACAAGTGTGCTGTGACACCACACTGTCTTCTTAGGCATTTTTCTTAAATGCCTGATACTATTTAACACAATTAAATTTCATACAAAGTTTAGCTTGGAATATAAGTGATTTAAAAATCAAATTTAAAAATAGCCCTCCACACACACCAAGTTAATATGAGGAATGAGCAGTGTAAAATGAGACAGTCGAGACAGTCTCAGACTCCAAAAAATTAAATATGCTCTCACACCCCTCAAATTCAGGGGAAAACTGCATTGCTGGCCTCAGCCAAACTGTGCTTTCCCTCTCCCTACTGTTTTAACCCTAAATAACACTTCTCTATACTTTACTTTGAATAAATAAAGCAGATCTTTTCTTTTCTTTTTTTTTCTTCTTCCAGGTACCGGGAATCAAACTCAGGACCTTGCACTTGCCAGGCAGGTGCTGTGCCCTGAGCTAAATCCCCAGCCCCAAGCAGATCTTTCCTTTAGAGAAGATTTTAGTTGGTGCAAGAAAGCGAACATAATGAGTAAGTGAATGAACAGGAACTGAAGAAGTGCCTCGGGGAGCAGCTCAGTTAGAGCCGCGTGAGAAGGTGCTTAGCAGTTGAGAGAGGGGCCTGGGTTCAACAGGGAGCGAAGGAAAGAGAACTGAAGGGAAATCGTCTGCATTATTTCCATGTGTTCGGGATGGGTGCCTCTGTGTGTCATTTCATCCAAGTTCCGAAAGAACCAATATATTCAGCTCACTGGCTACTAAACATGGACACAGGAAACTTACATTTTACACCCAATATGTTCAAGGCTTATGAGAAAGTCAACGTGGAGAAAGAATTCAGATTTTACAGATTACATTTAAATAAGTGAGACAGAATCACGTAAGAGTTTCATTTTCCAGCCTTTCTGGCAAGCTAGGACTTGTATTGTTACTGTGTCCCAGGAGTGCCAGACCCTTGCTCATCTCTAAGGAAGTAAAGGGTTACAAGGCCTGGAAGAGATTAGGATTGGTTTCAGGAGACTGAGCCTCAGTAATATTTCTCCCCACCTACCCGCTGACATGAAATTAACTTACACAAAAGCCTTTTATTCCACCGATAAAAGACACCACAAGTATGTGCAGAGCTGCGGATGTGGGTCTCTCTTACACAGGATGGGTTTTGTTAAGGTTGTCAAGAATAAGGCCTACTTTAAGAGATACCAAGTGAAGTTCAGAAGAAGATGAGAGGGTAAAACTGATTACTATGCCCGGAAACGCTTGGTGATCCAGGACAAAAGTAAGTACAGCACACCTAAATACAGGATGATAGTCCGTGTCACTAACAGAGATACCATTTATCACACTGCTGATGCCCGTATCGCAGGGGATATGACAGTGCGGCACGTGCACATGAACTACCAAAGTATGGATGAAAGCTGGCCGAACAAATTATGCTGCAGCATATTGTACTGGCCTGCTGCTGGCCCGCAGGCGTCTCAGTAGGGTTGGCATAGATAACATCTGTGAAGGCAGCTGGAGCTGACTGCAGGTGAACACAATGTGGAAAGCACTGATGGTAAACCTGGTGCCTTCACCTGCTATTTGGATGCAGGCCTTGCCAGAACTACAACTGGCAATGAAATGTTTGGAGCCCTAAAGGGTGCTGTGGATGGAGCTTGTCTACCCCTTACAGTACCAAATGAGTCCCTGGTTATGATTCTGAAAGCAAGGAGTTCAATGCAGAAGTACATCGGAAGCACATCACAGGTCAGAATGATGCAGACTATATGCGTTACCTAACGGAAGAAGATGAAGACGCTTACAAGAAACAGTTCTCTCAGTACATGAACAACCATGTAACTCCAGACATGATCGAGGAGATGTATGAAAAAGCTCATGCTGCTATACGAGAGAATCCAGTCTATGAAAAGAAACCGAAAAGAGAAGATAAAGAGGTGGAACTGTCCCAAAATGTCCCTTGCCCAGAAGAAAGGTCAGGTAGCTCAAAAGAAGGCAAGCTTCCTCAGAGCTCACGAGCAGGCTGCCAAGAGTTAAACCAAATTTCTATGAAGATTTTTCAGATAAAGACCAATAAACTTATTCATCAAGCAAAAAAAAAAAAAAAGATAAAAGATATCAATTCTTAAAATTCAAATGCTGATTGAAGGAAAATTCAATTGACAAGTATAAATAACTGACAGTCAGTACTAAAATTAGAAATGAAGAGAACAGAAGAGCACTGGAAACCTGAAATTCACTGCCTGGAGAAAGAGGCCCCAGAGAGGCTCAAACTCTAAAGCACAGAACTTCCCAATATTTCCATCAGCAGACGCTGGACTGTAAGGAACTGTACTTGTGTACTTGTATTAATAGACAATGTTAGTTCTGCCTGCTTGGCTTCCCTTCTATTCAGTTCTGGTCAGCTTTATCACTCACAATACCCCCCTACACAGACACACACACACACACACACACCAGGCTGGGTACGTGACTCAAGACTGGCCAGGCGTCCCCTTGGCAACAGGGGTGCTGTATGAGTAGGAACATGCCCAAGTAGAGTCACAGTCCCTTTCTAGGACTAACATATGAACATTGGAGAGTATATCGCAAAGAACCACTTCAGAGCTAGGGCTCTGTTCCTTCCTAAATGGCCCAGGTGGTTTGTAGTGGATGGAATGAAGCAGGCACACACAGGGAAGCAGGGACAAACAGACAGAGAGAGACAGAAGGTACTGTGAGGGTACTGAGAAATGGGCTCTAGTTCCTGAGGCACTTGTCTGTATAGCTCTTACGCTGTATGAACCATGCTAAATTGCTTAAACTAATTTGAATTTGTGTTTGGTCACTAGCAAATGAATGAAAATTGACAATGTATTTTTATCACACTATAATGCATACTGCTCTGACTTCAAGGGTTTATCAAAACATAGGTAGCCAGGCACAGAGTCAGATGCCTGTAATCCCAGCACTCTGGGAGACCAAGGCAGGAGAACTGCAAGTTTGAGCCCAGCTTGGGCAAGTGTCTCAAAATACAAAATAAAAATAAAATATAAAAACGAGGGGATGTGGCTCAGTGTGAATGGTCTAGATTCAATCCCCGGTACCACATACACACACACACACACACACACACACACACACACACAAAAAAAAAAAAAAAAAACAACCCACAGGTGTTTAAAGTTACGAACTTTTGATAAAGGACTTCAGGGGTGGTGAGAGAGTCTCACTAGTGGTCCAGGCTGGCCTTGAACTCACTAGGAAAGCCAGGCTGACCTCAAATTGTAATCTTTCTGCCTCGGCTTGCTGGGATTATAGGTCTGAGCATGGCACCTGGTTTTATAGAAGATTTTTTGAAAAGATCTCACATTAAATTGAGGCATGACATTTGGGGCAAAGAATGATGATGGTATCTCTTTAAAAGATTGTTTCTAGAGAATCTTATCTAACATGGAGAAAAATATATGATTTTTTAAAAGGTACTGGTAACAGTACTCAAGAGAATTATTTTGCACATGACTACAAAACCACATATTAAAACCTAAAAATTTAGTAAGAAACTAGATTTTTTAAGTATCAGTGAATATATAAATATAAAGGCAACTTTTACAACACTTACCTTAATTTCTGGTTGAAACCAAGTTTGTGTCTTTGTGTCAAATACATGGATGTCATTATGCCATCCCCAGAATATCTGCTCTTCCTAAAAGAGAAATTTTTAAAATATCTCAAAGCTTTCCTTTTCATATGATTGTTACAGTTTTGCTACATGTTTACTGGTTAAATAACAGACATCTTTAAAAAACCAGGCTCACTGTGAGCACAGCCACAGACCTAAGGCACACGCCACCCCTGGCAGAGTGCGTCCCCTGGTGCGTCCCTGGCCAGCGGGAGCTGCATCCGGCAACCCTTCCTCCTCAGCGCTGCTTCATGAATCACAATTCTCCATGTTCAGAATCTTCAGGTTCTTTTAAAGGATGCTCTCTTAAAATTGCACAGGACAGAATAAGTACTTAAATTCACACTCTGTTTCCTTAAAGTACAAGTACAGCGCAAGTGTCTGCTGTAATAAACATTAGAAGGCCTGGTTCCACTCCCCGCAAGTTCCCATCACTTCTAGTCCACCGTGCAATTTGCTCTGCTGGGTCAAACTAAAGCTAACTTTCTCCTTTATCTTCTAGGAGATAAAAGCCTTTGTTGGCAAGGAAAGGTTCAGCAGTTATACTGCACTGAGCATTTTTTAAACTGCTGAAGTTCTCCATCGCTACCCCAGCTTTCCTCTAGGGCATCTTTACACTTCGTGTCAGAAATGCATCACTTGTCTTTGATAGGACTCAGCACACAAGTCAAATACACCAAACAATTTACACAGTTTGGAATCTAAATGAAAAAAGTCTACTTGTTCTCCTGAGTGTTAGGACATACTCAGTAGCTTAACTGTTCTAGGGAAGAAAAACAATGGGTGATTTCACTGTAATAATAATTAGAAATAGTTGTAAGTTATATTTCTGAAAACTATTAGTAAAACTTTTAATAGCAAAATTTTAAAGATATTTCTTTTTAAAATTTTAAAACTAAAGCAGAAACATGGAGAATTTTTAAAATACCCATATACAAAGTGAAATACACATATACATTCACAGTAAAAATGTACAATGGTAACGTGTACTAGTAGAAGGTAGAACTAAAGTGAGACTATCCATCTTAGTAATGAGATCTTTTTTTTTTTCAGTTTAAGATCTTAACCTAGAAATTTATTGAAAGTAATCTCCAACACAAGTACACATTTTTAAAAAACACCTTTGTTAGCAAAAAGAATAAAAACTACTTTTCCTCCCCTCCAATGAATAAAACACTGTCGCCTTCCTGCTCCGTTTGGGAGCAAACCAAGAGTCCCAGCCTGAGGTTGAGGTCATGCCTTTTTATCCGTGAACATTCCTGGGATCTATAAATCCCTGCTCACCCCCACAGGATTTTCCGACCTCTTGTTCTGTGCCACACACGAAGCACTGGGGATGCGGTGCTGTTTAACACAGAACCTCTTGTTGGGAAAACTAAGGTCTGCCTGGGGGAGGGAGAGACAGAGAATCACAGGGTGCAACGATAAGGGTTACAAAGTATAAAGACACTACAAAAGTAAGAGTAAGGGAGAAAATCCCTCTGCTCGGTGGAGTGGAGAAGGTGGAGAAGGTTGGTGATTTTCCTCTTAAAGTGACATTTGGAAATATCTAGAGATATTTTGGTAGTTACAACTAGAGGAGAGGCCAAGGGGGCTGCTAAACAGCCTACTGTGCACAAGACAGCCCCTTATAAGAGAAGACGATCTGGCCCCACATATAAGAGCGCCACTGTAGGGCAGCAACGTTGCTGGAGCTGTGGTTAAAGATGACGGGTGCCTGCGAGTCAGCAGGTACGGAAGCCCATTCTGCCCAAAGGCTTCACTCTGCTGACAGCTTTGGGAGCATGGAGGGGGTAAGAACAAGACCAGATGACTCTGTCGTTCATTGGGAGAATGGAGAGGCCAGAGTTGTGATGAGGCTCGGGGACCATGATTGAGCTGTTTGCTGAGATGTCCACACTCCCCGATGAGATCTTTATACTTTGTAACCCTTATCACTGCACCCTGTGATTCTCTGTCTCTCCCTCCCCCAGGGAAGCAGACCTTGGTCTACTTGAGGATCCCCTCACCCACGTGAGAGTCTAGGTTTTCTGTTTTCTCCCAGCATCCATTTATCATCACAGTAAGAACATTCTCAGAGGTAAGGAGAGTGAGCTCTCTTGTGGTACCTCCTCGTAAGACAAATGCTTGGTTCTGTTTCATGCCATTACCCACAAGGATCCATAATGGCAAAAATCATGAAACTGCTGCTGAGTCTGTTTTCATGTATCCTGATGTGCTTGTCCCTCTATCCACATAGCCTGGTGGGTCACTGCAATGAGCCCATGACATCCATTTGGTAATGTGCCTTCATTAACCTACTAGTTCCTTTGTTGGGTCATTTTAGAGCCTAATCTCAGCCTACACTGAGATCAATATTTTTAAAGTCATCACTTAAGAGATTTCACTTTTATAACAATAATCTAACTAGTAAGAATAAGTAGGAAAAGTAATAGCACTACCAGCTCATTTATTCTTACGTAGAAGCCAGTCTGTGCTATGAATAATTCTGATAGACACGTCTAAGAGAAAGTGTATGTCAGCAACAGCTACTGTGATTAAATACAAACAAACTTCTCCCAATTTGTGCTAAAGCTTCAATCTAACAGAAGCAGGTATAAGTTATTAGGTGAGAGGCTCTCTTCCAATTGGATCCAAATCTAAAACAGTGAAAATACATTTTTCCATAGTGTTAATTACAGCAAATTAGTGCCTCTTAAAATTAGAAAGTTTTAAAAAAATTAGAAAGATTAGGTTCATTATTTCTAAAACTTGACAGCTGTGTTAAAATAAAATGTAAAGAGTGATTACTTTCTTACCCAAGACGCATCGTGAACATCAAAACAGTCTTGAAGTTCATTGTGTTTCCTACACCCATAACCACCAAAATATATTAATCTAGAAAACAAATGCAAAAAGGCAACTTTAGTAGTTCTACTTCTAGTTTGTCCACAAAGTTGAAACAGATCTTTTCTTTCACCCTAAGAACCTAAACAAGCCAAGCAAACTATAAAATCAGTTTCAAATAAAAATCAAAGAGCAGAGGTCACAAACACCTAAATGAAGCAATTCAGAAAGTGAGGAGGATCTCTATAGGACGGAAGAGAGACGTGGCTGCTTTCATCCCCAGTGTAACACCGGAAGGAAGACAAAAGCGTTACGTACAGACTTTGTGTAGAGAAACCATCCAAAGTTTTAACAGCTACATATAGGATGGCACAGAAGTTAGTATTTAGGAAACCTGGCAATAGCAGGAGTTGAACCCACTCCTAACTCTTCTGCATGCTCTTTAAGGAGGGCTCAGGATCAGTCATCAAAATCTGGAAGTAGGGGTTGAGTGTGTAGCTAAGTGGTAGAGCACTTGCTTAGCATGTAGTATGCTGGATCTGATCCCCAGCCACAGCACCACCAAAAAACAAAACAAAACAAAACAAACAAACTGGAAGCAGGGGACAGAGAGCTGGACAAATTTCACTGAAGCGATGTAAATGTTAAAGATACTAAAATTTGGGATCAGGACAGAAGAGCTGAAGAAACACCTGAGAGGCATGCAGAGCCTTTATACCAAAGACTAGGGGAAGAGATGCAAGACTGACAGAGATCTCCCAAGGCACAGAAAGCACAGAGATTGGAGAGCAAAGAGAACTTCCTAGTGGCCCAAAATCCTCCCTGCTATAGCAGGGAGATCTGCTATGAATCAGATCTCTCACAGTTCTGAGCAGTGGAAACTCAGCTTCAAAACACAGCTGAAAATCTTCAGTGCGCTAATGCAGGGCCCTCGTGAGTGTCCCACCTCAAAATAATGGAAGCCCATGGTGAAACAGAATCAAACTAAAGCTACCACCAAGCCCATCCGTGCACAGATCAACTACAGATTGACTTGATCCATCTCCCTTTCTAGAAGCCTAAAAAAAAAGGCATGTCACTTTCCAGAGATAAATATAATTAATTTCAGTCTTAACTGTCCTTTCATACAGAATGCCTGGCATATAATGAAAAATTATAAGATACATGAAAAAGCCAAAAAGAAAAAAAGGTGGCTCATGGTCAAGAGAGGAAAGAGTTAACATAAACAGACTCTTCAGGCCGGGTGTGGTGGCTCACGCCTGTAATCCCAGCACTCGGGAGGCTGAGGCAGGAGGATCGTTGAAAGTGCGAGACCAGCCTGGGCTACAAAGTGAGCTCAAGGCCAGCTTGAACTACATAGTGAGACCCTGTCTCAAAAAGACAAACAAAACAAAACAAAACAAAAAACATAAACAGACACAGAAGTGGCCCAGACACTGGGATTATCAGAAAAGGCCTTTTGAAATAACTGAATTTTAAGAAAAGCCTAATCTTGGGGCTGGGGATTTAGCTCAGTGGCACAGCGCCTGCCTGGCAAGCGCAAGGTCGTGAGTTCGATTCCTGGTACCAGAAAAAAAACAAAAAAAAACAAAAAAAAAAAAAGAAAAGAAAAGCCTAATCTCCAAAAAAGGTCCCAGGTGCTTAAAAAATAGTATCTGGTAGCCATTTGCCGGCTGGGGTCCACACACTCAGGGTTCCTGGAGGAACCACAAACTGAACTTTGTGGGCCTTGCTCAGTCATGTTCCTGTTCAACTGTCAAAATAAACAGCCTTTGAAAGTCCCATTTGGCCACCTGGACCCGATCAAATAAGTACGACCTGCAGTCAGGTTTAAAATCAACCAATTAGGAATGAGCACATTTATATCTTCATTTGCATAGTGACCTGTGTGGGTACCTTTCCAGGAATAACGAAGCAAATAAAGATCTTTGCTAGTCAAAGAAGAACCTAATTAGTCAAAAAAGAAATCACAAGGGAAATTAGAAACTACCTTGAGGGCTGGGGATATATCTCAGCAGCACAGCACCTGCCTGGCAAGCATGAGCTCCTGAGTTCGATTCCCAGTACCAAAAAAAACAGAAAAACTACTTTGAAATGAATGAAATGACACATACACCAAAACAAATGGGACACAGTAAAGGCAAGCCTCAGAGAGAAGTGTACAGCTGTAAATACCTACACCTAAAAAAAAAAAAAAAAAAAAAAACAGGAACCACTACAGAACTAGAAAAAAAAACCCAGCACATTAA